CAGAGTTTTGTTCAGCATGGGGGTGAGTAGAAAATGAAGGCTAATCATGTTTTGGGTGTACTATTCCTTTAAGGCTTTTAACTACAGTTTGTGGACTTCCTGATAGCAAAGAATTACAATAGTCCAGCTTTGAAGTAAAAAATACATGGACTAGTTTCTCAGCATCATCCCTGGACAGGAGATGAAAGAAGGAAATTCTAGAAACCTCTTTGATATGGGATTTAAATGACAAGTCCTGGTCATAAATAACACCAAGATTTTGTACTTTATTATCTGAGATCAACTATAAATTTATTAAATTAAATCCAAAATATTAATTTAGCAATTCCAAAATAAATGACTGATTGTATTGTATTGTATTGGATGCTCTTTGCAAAATGTACAGTGGGGTCAATTGTCCAAATATCATTATTATAATTGTTTGGATTTTTTTGCTGTTTTTTGTGTGTGTGTGGGTGTGTGTGTGTAACTTGCAATTATCTTTCTACTCATTTGTTGCACTTTATGATGTTTGTTGTACAGCACTTTGGGCAGATCTAGCTGTTTTTAAATGTGCTACAGAAATAAAGTTGACATTGACATTGAATATGTTTCATGATGTATTCATTAGTAGGGTAAATCTTATGCAACAGGCAGCATAAAGGAAACATCCCTCATTTTGTCGAGTATAATCAGTGGTGTCAAATGTCCACACATTTATTACTTAAGTAGAAGTATAGATACTGCAGTTTAAAAACACTCTGGTAAAAGTTGAAGTATCAACTTGACCTCTTTACTCAAATAAAAGTGAAAAAGTATGTGCTCCAAAAACTACTTAAAGTATAAAAGTAGAAAGTAACCTTTAAAAAAAAAACAGCCAGATTCCACTATATGAATTGAAAGCTCAATTTTATGACTATTTTGAGAAATTCTTTGAGATAGGGCCGAGGATGAGGGAGGTCTTGTTGGTCTCCGTCTCCATTTCCTGATACGCTCTCGCCTGTGTCTGACCTTTCAGACATTTCAACATCTTGTTCTCAATCTAACATTGTAGCATTGCATAGACAATTCACATTTGCAGTTTGAAGAACACCTGATGATTTCCTTTAGCTAACCAAGTGTTTGCGTTAAATGACTCATCCAATTACAGTAGTTTTCACTAGATGTGGATGGCGCCAATGACCTGCATTGGATCTCGCACATTATGTAAAAATAAATATTTATAAACATTAAACCGAAGCCAAGAGTAATGAGTAACATTTGTTTTTAAAATGTAAGGAATAGAAAGTACAGATACTTGTAAAAAATGTAATGAGTAGAAGTCAGAAGTAGGAAGAAAAATAAGTAATAGAGGAAAGTATAGATACCTAAAAAGTGTTCTTAAGTACAGTAACAAAGCATTTGTACTTCATTACTTGACACCTCTGAGTATCATAAAAGTCTCTGATGAAATATTCATATTGCTTCTGCTCCCAATAACAAAAACAACTGGACAACATATTTTCTGTTGGGATCCAGAGGCTTGCCCTCCAGAGGGCGCCGAGGATCCCTTCCCGTTTTTATGTTTTTTCTGTTGGGATCTGGAGATCTACCACCTGTCTCCAGCAGAGAGCGCTGTGGGTCTCCTGGGCTGGAGCCTCCAGCACACCTGAGGATCATCAGCCCATCAGGAGACCTCCTACATAAGCAGCAGCCAGACCTGTCTTCGGCGCCTGAGTATTGACCAGTTTTGGTTAGCGGAACCTGAGCCTCTGTTAACATTTAGAATCTCAGTCTGCTCTAGAGAGTAACCAGATTCTAACCAGCCTCTGTTTTCTCTGCTCACAGGAAAGCCCGACTGAAGTCTGTAGCTCTGGAAGAGCTTGTGCTTGGAAACCTGCCTGCCTGTCCTAGGAAGCCAAACCTGAAGACTATCAGTCTGAATTCCCCAGCTAGTTCTCAAGGGAGGACTAGGAAATCAACTCAAGGTCTGAACCTCGTTAGCCTGAAGCAAGACGCTGCTGCTGCTGAGCTCTGTGCTGAATCCACAATCTCTGGACCCAACCGGTTCCCTCTCTTCATCGATCAGTCTGAACCTCAACAAGGTACAAACCAGAATCAAACCCTCTGCAGATTACTCTGTGATTCCTGCCCCGGACCAGTACCAGAACCTGCCAGTCTTTACTCTTGTGTGCTTCTCTTAAATAAACTGTTAAACTTTTACCCCGTTTCCTGTGGTGTTCTGCATGTGGGTTTAAATACAGAGACCCATGATGACATTTTCATCTTGCTGAAAAAGTGCTACAATTATTATTAAACAGGGTGAGGAAAAACAAGCTCTATCAACGATGGTATCAGCTACATTTAACAAAGATTTACTTTCAGAGTTTTTTTATACCGTCAAAAATTCCTGCTAAAAATCAGACAACATAGTTTTTGTCACAAACAACAACAAAGCAACATCGCTGCTATGATTGCGTCGTTTCTTTTTTACCACTAGGGGGCAGCAAATACCACACTTTAATTAGAGAATCCCTTGAGAGTGCCACGTTTATCAGCTCCTTGGTCCGCTAAATTCCAACTTCCTGCTTTTATTGTGTGCTTGGTCTTTAAGACGGAAACACGAGAGAAAAGGATAAAAACATAGAAATCGGCTACTCGACGTTTGTTTTTTTTTACCTGAGTATTAGAGATCTATCCCAGGATGTCTTCCAAAGATATAATTAGGAAAAATAAAACCAAACTTCAGGATATTCTTTGTGGAAACTACAAACTTATCCTGGACAAGGTTTATGAGAAGGAACTGATAACTCAGAGGGATTACAAAAACCTGAAGAGCATCAATAAGGAAAATTTGAGCGGCCACGTTACAGAGATGGTGGATACGATCATGGATAAATCAGAGAAGGCCTGCAAGGACTTCCTGTACCTCCTGCAAACTGATCAGGCTGTTAAAGAAACTTTTCTTGACCTGGAGAACCTCCAACTTAGAGGCACCAGGGTTTTACCAGCGCCAGTCCAAACCACCTCACCTGATGAAGGTAAATCAACTCACTGAGGAATGGAGGCCTCATTTTCCTGCCACAGTTTCATGCGTGTTTGTCTCACTTTCATTTAGGGAACATGGAGCCAGAGTGCAAAAGGCAGAAGAAGGTGAGATCCTGCTCTGGAGACAGAGATATGCTGGGTTTAAACAGCCTGAAGTAGGATAAAAAACAAACAAACTTAGATCTAGTTATTGTTGTAACTTAACGGTTGTTTTCCTTTATTTTTCCAATTGCACTTTCTCACAATTCTGGATTTTTCATTTCTTACACTGTATTACAGGACTATAAAGGTCTGGAAAATATACCTGAGTGATGAATCAAGCTCTAAAATTAAATAAAGGAGAACTTTATTTATCTCCCTTATTTAGTTGATTCTCTGATTTTAAATCTAATAAAGTTTTTAATAAAGTTTTTTTCGTTAGATAATTAGTTCTTTGACTGAGTTTCTGCTGCCCCTGTCATTTTATTCAGGGATGATCTGAAGCAGTAATAACTGTCCGTAAAGGATGTTTTTCAGCTTGAACAAACTGAATCATGATGTCTGTGTTCAAATAAATATTTTAACTTATCTCAACAATTCAAATGGTGATATGTTAAGATAACATAACTATTAATTATTTACTGCAATATAAGCTGGATTTCCTTCAGATTCATCAAATTTATTATTAGATTGTCAACTGGAGCTGATGTTTTCTCAACATACAGTTGCTTCTCAAAAAGAGTTATTGAGTTTATAAAGGTGGAATTTGCTCTGATTCCCAACTTCAACTTAGTTGTGTAACCCTAGTTTTTAGTTTACTTTAGTGTCATTTCCTTTAGTTACGTGTTTATAATGTTTCCTGTTTAGTTAATTTGCCCCCTCCTGTTTAGTCTGCTGTCTTTTCTTTTGTCCCATCATTCATTTTGCCTTCCCTCCTACACATTTTTCTTTCCATTTAACTTCAATTAATGTAGTTGGATACAGCATCCTGTAAACAAAGCCAGCTTCTTTAACTATTATCTTTTATGTTCTTTTAAAGGGAATCATTGAGTCTCTTCTGGACATTTGTGCAGTTGTTTTGAGTTAATTAGCTGTTTGGTTTTTAGATGTTTCTCTACACTCTGTCCACAATCATCAGGCAAGTTGTAATTTTGACCATACCATGATTTTTTTTATGCATTCATTTTCTATCTGCAAGCTAACGTCTGGTGCAAAAAAAGGAAGGAATGTGTCACCTCAATAAGAGGGAGAAAAAGGAATGAATGATTACAGAGTGTATAAAAAAAAGCACTTAAGGACTTTTGGGTTGGCATTAGTCTAATCACAAAAGATATCGTTAAACTAGGCCCAGTCATTGGCAACAAATGACCTTAAACTGCTAGGTTGTTAGTATTGTCAGCTGAAAGGGCATGTGGCCCTAGGTCCTAGGGCCACATGCCCTTTCAGCTGACAATACCATCATCCTAGGGCCTAGGATGATGGTAGTGAGCAAGGCTCAGCAACTACTGTCCACCCAACCAAATAGATCTCACCGAGGCCCTAATCAAAATTGAATATGGTGAGCCATCAAGACTTTATAAAGATTTTATATTCTGATGAGATGAGAGTGACTCTGGACTGACCAGATGAATGAGTCCATGGCTGGATTGGTGATGGGCACAGAGCTCCACTTCACATCAGACAGTACTGGCAAGGGCAGCTATTATTAGTCGGAAGCCTACTGTCACTTTTAAGAAGGAAAAAGTCCTTCAAGAATGCCAGGATTTTTATGCAGACAGTTCTTGATCGCCTCCTTCGGTCATGGCTCAGGGGACTCAGTGTTTAAGGTAGACAGATAATTCAAAAGCGTTTATTAAAATCTGGTGGATATCTAGTAACATCGGCTAAGGCGTATATCGCAGGAACCTCTGCAGAAAGGAAACATAGTTTAGTGACCTTGTAAATCTGGTGGAGGAAGATAATGAACGTGAATCACTAACCTGGTTTACCAGTTCAGTCCAAGCTTAGAGAATAAGTTAGGATCCAGCC